GAAAACTGGGTCTTAATTGGGACGACCTCTATCAGATCGATTCAATCGCGGGAATAGGGGCATATCGACTCCAAGACATGTTTGGGAGAAGTCTGCCACGTCCTTGGAATTCCACGCATTTGTATAAATTTTATCATTAACCCGACATGTGGGGCATGATAACTTGTTTTGAGTGTTCGGCGTGTACAACTTTTACTTTTATAATACAAGACTTCTTATCTCACTATATGGAATTTTAGTTTGAAGTTAAAAGCCTCTGGATTCAGAGCGCCCTTCGTGGATTTCACGATTGGACGAGTTAAAAGCCTTCGGATTTGGAGCTCCATTCGTGGATTTCACAATTGGCCCAGTTAAAAGCCTCCGAATTCGGAGCGCCCTTCGTGGATCTCACGATTGGCCAAGTTAAAAGCCTCAAAATTCAGAGCCCATCAGTGAATGCCACTTTTGGGCCAAGTAAGACTTCGAATTCATAGCGCCCTTCGTGGATTTCATGATTGGCTAAGTTAAAACCCTCCGAATTCGAAGCCCTATCAGTGAATGCCACTTTTGGGCCGAGTAAGCCTCTGGATTTAGAGCGCCCTTTGTGGATTTCACAATTGGCCGAGTTAAAAGCTTCCAGATTCAGAGCGCCCTTCGTGGATTTCATAATTGGCCAAGTTAAAAGCCTCCGACTTTGGAGCCCCATCAGTGAATGCCACTTTTGGGCCGAATAAGCCTCCGGATTCGGAGTGTTCTTCGTGGATTTCACAATTGGCCGAGAGAATTCGGTGCGCTTTTCATGTATTATGATTGACAAGCATAAATGTAGTTGGCAAAAAAAATAATAAAAAAAATGGAAGATGATCATCACTAAATTTATAAACATAAATTAAAACAACATGCAAACATTTAAAATAGTACGTTTCATTGAATTGATAAATAATACATAATTCACTCCCAATCTACGTTGGGGCGATACAATATGTTCAATTTTATTCGGCTTCCCCCTCGTCATCACACTTATTTACTTCGAAAGTTGAAAAGGGAAAATGATGACTCTGATATAAAGGAGACGCCGAATCAACGCCTGTTGCCCGGAGAGCCTTGGCGGCCTGCAGAGCCTTGACTCAACCGTGCTTAAATCCACGATTCTCGTATCGACAAGCCTCCTCGACAAGGTTTTCCTTAGTTTTCTGTATCCCAACTTTTCAGACCTCATGGAAGCCTTTTTCATAAGCCCTAGCCCTTATGGCCTCTATTACAAACATGCTTGCCGTCTCCCGATCGGCAATCGCATGACTTATAAGCCGTTGGGTCACCCTTTCCTCCACAATCGAGTTAGCTTGGCTGGCCGATTGTGCCTCGGCAGTTTTCACCTTTCTTAGTTTGCGCTCAGCCTTCTCTGCGCGACCTTCTAAGCTTCGAATGCGTTCATCCTTCTGCTCTATCTTCTACCGCGTGGCATGAAGATGCATGCCAATTTCATAGGCGGTATACAGCCCTTTCATCGCTCCATGGATGCCCTCCCAGAACACTTCGAAGTTGGGTTGACCGACCATCGACTGCTGGACTTCTGTTGGAAAAATTTGTCAACTAAACCCGACTGCCACGCTTGGGTCGTGCACAACTGAATCCGCGTCCGTCATCGGTTTGTTCCCCACAAAAACCGCAAAACTCAATGGGTACGGCCCCGCACTGCTTTCTCCTCTCGAGCGTGGTACAAGGGAGCTGCCCTATTGCTGTTTTTCCCTTTTGGGTGACCTACTTCGATGACGCGAGGACTGGCATTTTTCACGTTCCCTCGATGTCCTACTATCCGTGCGCGTAGACTCTCCACCGCGATTCGTCTCTACATCCAACTCTGCGAGTGTTCTCTATTTTCCTCTGCTGTTGAAAAATAGCCTTCTAGACATCTAGTCCAAATTCATTACTCTTCTCCCTCCTATGATTTGCCAAATTTGGACACCAATATGGACCCTAAACGAGCGCAGCCCCCGCCCATCTTATTAATCGCAGGTGCAGCGTTCCCAAATCGTTCCCTTCAATGCACTGCGCCACAAACTGACGTGGATCAGCAGTCTAGTTCATCAATTCGACGATCGTGTTCAGCAACTCGCTGGGGTAAGGGCAGATTCATCAATCTATTCGGCCTAAATATCAGAATTCCTAACCGAATTGTCATGGTGCCCTGGCAAATTTTTGAACTGCCGTTTGTAGGCGGTCTTGTTTACACACTGGGGCAAGGGCAGATTCATCAATTTATTCGGCCTAAATATCAAAATTCCTAGCAGAATTGTCATGGTGCCCCAGCAGATTTTTGAACTGCCGTTTGTCGGTAGTCGAATTGTCATGGTGCCTCAGCAGATTTTCGAACTGCTATTTGTCGGCGGCCGTGTTCAGTAACTCGCTGGGGCAAGGGCAGATTCATCAATCTATTCGGCCTAAATATCAAAATTCCTAGCAGAATTGTCATGGTGCCTCAGTAAATTTTCGAACTGCCATTTGTCGACGGCCGTGTTCAACAACTCACTGGGGTAAGGGCAGATCCATCAATCTATTCGGCCTAAATATCAGAATTCCTAGCTGAATTGTCTTGATGCCCCAGCAGATTGTCGAACTGTTGTTTGTCGACGGCCGTGTTCAGCAACTCGCTGGGGCAAGGGCAGATTCATCAATCTATTCGGCCTAAATATCAGTGCTATTTGTTAGGTCATTCCTATGCCCCAGCAAATCCCTGAACTGTCGTTTTTCAGTGGTCCTGTTCATCAACTTGATGGGGCAAGGGCATATTCACTAATATATTCGGCTAAGTTACAGTGCTATATAGTTATTTTTGCGGTGGATTAATTTTACATCTTACTTGGCCGTTAACAAGCACATTCATCAGGAAGAAAGGCAAAAGTACTTTTCATTCATAAACTGAACACAAACAGAAGTCATTTTACAAATGAAAACTACCCTACGTCAGCTTCTCTAAAAAATGAACAGTCAAAAACCTAATAACTCTCACAAAACCTACATACACACAATACCAAAAAATAAAAAGAAAAATACTTGACTCTAGGTCAGTCTTCGGGGTCAGACTCCAATGGCTCAATGTCTACCTGCTCATACGGAATCAGCTACTCTGACACCACGTTAGCGGCAGCCAAGGCTTTGAGTCAGCCATGTTTGAACCCTCTGTTTTTGAACTTCGACACTTCTTTTACGTAGTCCGCCAAGGCCGCATCCTTGCCAGCCTAGAATGACTTGGAAATCTCGGACTCGGCGTTCGCCATCGCCCTCTTCAACTTTTCCAAGTCAGCCTCCAACTTGGCAATTGTCTCATTTGCCAATTTGAGTGCTTCTTCGTTGGCATTTGCCCTCTCCTCGGTGGCCACTTTTAGTTCGTTAGCAGTCTTGGCCTTATCTGCTTCAGAATCGGACCTAGCTCTCTTGGCCACTGCTTTCGTGGCCTCAGACTCGACGCGGAGAGAGGCCTCTGCTACCCTTCCCTTCTCGTTTTCCAACTCGGCTGTAAGGAAGCCGATCTGTTTGATAGCGTCATGTTGGCAATGGCCAATTTTAACTATCCTTCCCGCCGCCTACAAAACAAGGGGTCAATAAGTTAATATAGAAACTTTTCTTTTGGTTAGCCTTGCGAAATTATAAAAGATCATGTACCAATATCGCCGATTGAGCGGCTAATGCGATGAGCAGTAGATCGGCCTCTGCCCTAAAAGCTGCTCTGTAAATCGACAGAGAAATGGAGGAGGCCAAGCTCAAGGCCACAGCTGGGTCTCTTATAGCCGACACATTGAAGGCAACCGACAAGTTCTTTATCATTGGTTGTATTATAAACGGCACAACCAAGTCCGATTCTTCCATGCGTGGCCGTTTATTCACTGGATCTTCCGAATAATCGGCTTCATGCTCGGCTGGACGTTTGTCCCCCTTGTGCTCCGTCACTTGACCCTCCTGTTGATCATCAACAGGTTTCGTTTCGGGCACTTCAATCTGAACCTTGTCCTCAACAGGAGTAGGTGGAGGAGTTTCTTCCCTTGCATCAGGTGGAGGGGGTGGAGGTTCGTTTCGCTCGGCTTTGGCCCTCCTACGGGTAGCCATCCTCTCAGCATTTTTTTTGTTTGGCCAATTAAGTGAGCGACTCACCAGCCATGTTGTCCGGATAAGAGCCGGGTAGATCCCCTAAGTCGATCAAAATATCCTCGAAGGATGCGTCCGCTCGGCCAGAAGTGGATAGATAATTGAGGCCAGCTTCTTTAAAAGCCAAATTTAGTGCCGCGTCAACCTCTTTTAGTCCGTTGGATCCATCCAAAGATGGTTGATTCGGCTGCTCAGCAACTCTTTCGGCTGCTTGTTCATCCACCGGCTCTGAGTCTAAAGCCTCAAAACCGATCTGCATAAGGTTCTTGAAGCTTGGAAAAACAAGCATCGTAAGGTGCTATTCGCCCCTCGGAATAGGAATATTTTCTGCCGCTGAGAAAGTAGTGTATGCCAGCTCGTATCTCAGAAGAATATGGGCCGCCCTCCCTTGTTTCTGGAGATTCGGACGGCCAAAGAATTGGAGTACTGTTTTGATCTGCACAAGTATGGCGTCGTCGGCCGAAACTAGAACTTTCTTCAAATTGTTTCCTGCACAAATAAAACGGTAAACACATGGAATTTGAACCAAAAATGTTTAATAAAAATTCATGGGAAATTAAACGGCCACCTGGTTCGCCCCTTCGCCTGGGCATAGGATCTTGACGATCTTCGCCCTCGTCGAATTCCCAGTTGCCACGGACAACGACCATGACATCGTCAACACGCTTGCCAGAACTGGCAAGCATAGTGACCAAATGATGGTCGGTGTCCTTAGCCCTGAGAAAATAACGCCGTTACCGACCAAAGGACTTGGACAAGGCATAACAATGCCGAATGGCAGGGACTCCAAGATTAAGCCTAAGGCTCCGGTTTAGTTCTACAATTCCCATTATTATTCGGTAAATATTTACGTTGGGCTGAGAAGGGATTAAACCCCAATGGCGAAGGACAACCCTCAAAAGGGGATGAAAGGGGAAATGGACTTCGCCCTTTGCGATTCACAAGAGAGGAAAGACGATTGTAATCTCATCAATCCTCTCTATGTCAATCACGTTCTTTGCCAAAAGTGACAGATGAATGTCGTCAGGGATAGAAAAATGGCGACGGAAACCAGAGACTCGCTCCCACAGAAAGAAGAGCTCTCAAATGTTTAGCCATCACAGCAGGAAAAACAGATACTCTACACAGCAAACAAACAAGGAAAAGGGAGTCAAAATGGAAGAAAGAGAAACTTACAAAAAATAAGGAGGACAATGAAGAACGGAAAGAAGTTACAGAGGGCGAGAAGCGAGGGAGGTGAACTGACAGGCAACAAGAAACCTTGAGCATTCAAGAAAGAACATACAGACGAAAAGACAACACGGTTTTGAAATCGTGTTAAATGAATGAAGTGTACTAAGGAACGGGAGATTAAAATGATGCCTAAAAATAGTAGGCATCCTGACGCTTGCATTGGAATAAGGGAAACTGCCGTATTTTCTGACTCTCTAAATCCAAGGACCAAACACGCCGACTAACTGACATTAATAGGATGTTTGGGGGGGCAATTGTGGGGCCGAATATATCTATTACGTACGGAGGCCAAATATCTTGAGGAAAGAAACCAATTTATGTATCAAACGGCTCTATCCTTAGGGACGGAGGCCGAATAACCAGATCAGCCGAAGAATTAGTTGTAGACCTGGCCGAGTACAAACATTTAGCCAAATGAGGATTATTCATTGGACGAAAGGTGGGCCCAACCATCAACATCAAGGATGACTATAAATAAGAAGAGCATCAGCTAAGAGTAGATATGTGAGAACAAGTATGTTTAACTTAAGATACAAGCAACCAAAAGAGTATATACTGACTTATTCGTCGGAGTGCTAATTCCGGCACCCCCGACCGGAGTGTTCATTCCTTTTCAGGTGACTAGCTGAGGATCTCGAGTGTCCCATTAGATCCAAAGAATATTTCCAAATCACTTCCCCACATCCTATTATAAACAAATAACTAGACTCCTGATATTATTAAAAACAAGGAATAAATTTTTCAAAAAAAAATCATTATTACTTCAACCAGGCTATAAAAAGATATACACTCTTAGCTTCTGTGAATGATACAAATTAAAAGCATCCACCAAGTTGAAAAACCAGAAACTTCAAAGTTGTCCAAATTTCAATACCTCAACCCAAAAATAAAAAAATAAAAAAAAATAAAGTTTTATTTATTTACGTAAAATAATATTATTACCCAGATGAGCCTATATTTTGTTTGGTGTTTTGTTCACATGATCAATGCTATTTTTCTTTTGTTTTTGGCATTAGACTTTGCTAACACTGTCACTGCCGCTGCAGTACTAGTGAATAGTGATCATCATGGAAATGAGACGGATCGACTAGCACAACTGGAATTCAAGGCAAAAATAACATCAGATCCCAACAGGGCTCTGAGCTAGTGGAATGAGTCGATCCAGTTGTGTGTGGCAGACGACACCAGAGGGTGACCATATTGAACTTGACATCTGAAGAATTGAATGGTCCTATTTCACCTCACATAGGAAATCTAACCTTTCTAAGATCACTAATGTTTGCCCAACAACATCTTCACTGGTAAAATCCCTCCAGAACTTGGCAATTTGCCAAGATTTGAATTCTTGTGGCTGGACAACAATTCTATTAGTGGGGAAATTCCTGTATCTGCTTGCTTTAAACTCTATTTCTTGTCTTTAACTAACAATAGTCTGGTAGGAAAGATTCCTGAGGAGCTCAGTTCGTTGCCTGAGCTTGAGCAAATCTTTGTTGACCGTAACAATCTAAAAGGAGATCTTCCTTCTTCTTTGGGAAATCTATCAATTCTTCATAGTTTCGTTGCAGCCGAAAATAGTATTAGTGGGAGCATCCCAAATAGTCTAGGTAGATTGACAAACCTAAAATCTCTTGCATTGGGGGTGAACAGGTTGTTTGGTACCCTTCCTTCTTTAATCTTTAATATCTCTTCTATCAGGCAGTTTGACTTGGCAGATAACCTTATTCAAGGGAGTCTTCCCTAGGATTTGGGAATTACTTTTCCTAACCTCCAATTCTTTAGCATTGCTTCTAACCAATTTACTGGATCCATTCCTTCTTCAATATCCAATGCCTCCAAACTTGAATTTCTTCAGCTTACAGCGAATAAGTTTACAAGGAAAGTGCCCCCGCTAGAGAAGTTGTAGAAAATTTTGTGGTTAAGCTTTTCTATGAATAGTCTTGGAACTGGTGAAGCTGATGACTTGAACTTTCTCTCTTCTTTGACCAATGCCTCAGACTTGTATTTTCTTGCCCTAAGTGGGAACAATTTCGGAGGGATGTTGCCTGAATCCATTAGCAATCTATCCACCAATCTTGCATTTCTATTCCTAGACGGAAACAAATTATCTGGAAACATCCCAATCGGGATAGGGAATTTAGTCAATTTGGAGGATGTTGAACTGTTTGGCAATAAACTCGAGGGAAACATTCCAGCCTAGAAAAACTTCAAAAGCTGCAAATTTTGTTTCTCACATCTAATGAATTATCAGGGGAGATCCCACTGGTTTTGGAAAATTTATCTTTCTTATATAAACTTCATGTAAGTGCAATTAATTTTCGTGGTAGCATCCCCACAAGTCTTGGGAAATGCCAAAAATTGGAAACACTATGTCTAGCTCGAAACAATCTTGGCGTCACAATTGCTCGAGAAGTTATTAGTCTGTCATCATTGCTAGAACTAAATTTATCTCAAAATCATTTGATTGGTTCCCTTCCAATGGAAATCAGAAATTTAAAAAACACAGAAACATTGGATGTTTCTGGCAACAGGTTTTCTGGGGTAATTCCAAGCACTCTTGGTAGCTACGTGAAATTGGAAAGCCTAAAAATGGTGAGCAACAATTTCAGAGGGATCCTTCCTTCGTCTTTGAGTTCTTTGAGAGGTGTTCGAGTATTAGATCTTTCTCACAATAATTTATCAGGCCAAATCCCAAACTACTTGGAGAGCTTTGTATTCTTGGAGAATCTGAATCTATCATTTAATGATTTCGAAGGTGTGGTGCCAACAACAGGCCTCTTTAAGAATGCGACTGTAGTTTCAGTTAAAGGAAACAACAAACTTTGTGGGGGTACTCTTGAATTACTACTTCCAAGTTGTAACTCCCAAGGGTCAAAAATGAAAAATCAAGTCTTACCTTGAAACTAAAAATCCTCATAGCTTTTGGGATTTTAGGACTAATTTTCATGCTCTCTTTCCTATTCTTTACTTGGTCTAGGAAGTCAAAAAAAATACCTTCTTCCATGGTTTTTGCTGACAGATTTCCAAAAGTGTTTCGAATGAGGGTGTCTTACCAAAGTCTACTTAAAGCTACTAATGGATTCTCACATGCCAATTTGATTGATGGGGGTGGTTTTAGTTCCGTGTATAGGGAATTCGTGAGCAAGATGGACCAGCTGTTATTGTGAAAGTACTTAACATTCAATTTCGTGGAGCTTCCAAGAGTTTCATTGCTGAGTGTGAGGCCTTGAGATGCATTAAGCATCACAATCTTGTCAAGGTACTCACTATATGTTCGGGTGTTGATTATAATGGTAATGATTTCAAAGCTCTAGTTTATGAGTTCATGGTCAATGGGAGCTTAGAGGAGTGGTTGTATTCAAAGGAAAATGAAGGTGAGGAGCAAAGGGAGTCAAGAAATTTGAGTCTTCCACAGAGATTAAATATTGCAATTGATGTTGCTTCTGCACTTGATTATCTACACCATCATTGCCAAGAAACAATCGTTCATTGTGATTTAAAGCCAAGTAATGGTCTTTTGGACATTGAAATGAATGGACATGTAGGTGATTTTGGGTTAGCGAGATTGCTTTCAGAAGCTACCTACAACAACTCTTGCAGAAATCAATCAAGTTCTATTGGCATAAGAGGATCTATTGGTTATGTTGCTCCAGGTAAATTTGTCTCTTATTTTATTTTATTTTTTTAATGTTTACTCCTCTCACTGAATTAGAGATGATTTCTCAGGAAAATCTTCATTTTTTTTTTGTTTTTTTTTTTGTTTTCTAGCATTTGGTCTTTAATTCACTAAACCTATAATACACCAATTATATCAACAACTTACAAACTTGAATTTTTTAACTTGCCAAAAAAAAAAAAAAACCCACAAAAATAAGAAACTTAAGTACAAATCAGATTCTTAACTGATTAGTAGTTTGCATACAATCATTTTTGTGCTTTCCATTCCATTTCCTCTAAAATTTACTGGAACTTTGGTATGTTTATTTATTTTTTTCTTTCAAATATTGTATGTGTGTGTGTCAATTTCTGACCACACTACCAATCAAGCACTCAACTGGAGAACATTGGCAGAATAGATTAAGCCCGAACGACCTGTAACAAAAAGAAGAGATTCCGGCTGTGGTTCATCCACCTGGGGCACTTCGACGATCAAGTCAGTAAAATATCTCTCAAAGATAATCAATAGTGCTTAACTCACTAGACAGAGTTTGAAAAGCATACCTTAGACCCATGGGGGTGCCTCCTTTTTATAGCCAACACAATCCTAGTCCCAATAGAAGCCTAGCCCTAATGGACTTAGGATTACTGCTAATCTTGGACTCCCAGTAGGATTAGGATAAACTCTCAAAGAGTCTTATCTTTACCCAAACTGAAGTCTTCTCCCATTCTAGGACTCTTGTCCCTTATCCGCTTATCCCAGATTCAGGTATCTTCGCAGGTAACCTCGGCCTAGCCGAGATGATCTCAGCATCATGACCAGGACACGTGGCACCTCGGCTGGCGCTTCGGTGACACCTCGGCCACGTGTTGTCATTCAAAATTTATGTCCCCACAGTATGTACCAATCATATTGTATTATTAATCTATAAATAGGCCAAGTGGCTCATAAAAGGGTACTTGCAAAGCAGAAAAGAAAACATACAATGTGATTGTCTCTTTGTATATATTTGAACCATCAAAACCTAATCGCAGACATGATGATGAGGTTTTGGTTTGGTTAATAGATACTAAATGGCATGAATTGAGTTGAACCATAAACTACTAATCTGTTTCAAGTTTGATTTTCTACGTGTGACTCTCCTCTGTGGTTCGAATTATTAACCTTCTAAGGTCTACTGAGTAAATCATTTATGCAAAAAATTTAGATATTCCAGGTGAGCCTGACCGAGTTGCACTAGCCTTCTCATTACATATTCATTGATATGCTTCTGGTCAAGCTTTTTGTCAATTGTATTTATCATGTGAGGTGCTTGATTTTGCAGAGTATGGTATGGGAAATGAGGTGTCGACATTTGGGGACGTGTACAGTTATGGCATCCTCTTATTGGAAATGTTTACAAGGAAGAGACCCACCGATAACATGTTCAGTGAAGGTCTAAATCTCCATAACTTTGCTAAAATGGCTTTGCCTGAACAAGTCGCGCGAATTGTTGATCCAAATCTGCTTCAACAACGACAAGAGGAGGAAGCGAGCTCTAGTGACAACAACACTCAAAGTGAGATTCAAAGCCATGCTATTGCAATTGGTAGCAGTGAAAAAATTGAGTTCTTGATTTCAGTAATTAAAGTTGGAGTTGCATGTTCAGAGGAGCTGCCGAGAGATTGAATGGACATTAAAGATGTTCTAAGTCAGTTGCATTTGATTAGGAACAATCTTCTTGGAATAGGAGGACCAGGAAGAAGTGCTAGAATTGCCATTCCAACATGAATAATGGGTATGACTTTTGACTTTGATTCTTTTCAAATTTCAATTTAGTCGAACTTATAATCAAAATTGTCAATTTGAGACAAATTAGTTCAACCTCAACTAAATTTGTTACTAAAATGTTGTGGCAATGAGATTTCTATTACTGAAAATCATTTAAATGAGCACTTTTCTTTAAAACAATAAATTCTAATACTTTTACATCGTTCTGTATACAAAATCATAATAAAATACACCTATATATGGTCTCTAAGCTATTCGTTTGGTGTCATTTTGTTCTCCAAATTTCTTAATTTGTCACTTTGATCAGTAAAGGCTAATGAGGATCACAAAGTGTATCCTAAAAGTGTTTTAAGTATTATTTGACAAAAATAAAACTTTAAAGACCAATGTGACACATAACACGTACTTTAGGGACTGTAAATAATATTTATTAATGAAATTGAGTCAATTTAACTCAAATTTGAAAATTTATGAATGGAATTGGCAAAACAAAAAATTAGAAGACTACAAAACACATTTTGAGGACTACAAATATATTGTGTATCCAAGTTGAATTCTTAGGAAATAAACTCGGATATATACTTTATTGAATTTTAGTTTTCAGTCATGCTATGTAGGCTGATCCAAATATCTGACTAAACTTTCTCCGAGATTGTGTATTCATGAAGTATTGAAATTTCAAATGACCTCAATATTTATATTTTTTGTTTTGTTTTTTTGTTTTAGATTGTTTTGTTTAATTTGTTTCATAGATTTGAGATGGATATTGTTGGCTACATATTTTGTACAAGCCAATTACAATTCGACACATGACAGAATAAGGATAATATAGGAAGGCTATTCAAGTCTTCGATTCTGATTGTACACATGGCAATTAGTATTGGTTATTACGAGATCTAAGTAGCAGTGGATCAACAAAGAGATACAAGGTGATGTGGCTTCAACGGTTACTCATATTTAAATTCAAATTTATGAGGGAAGCCTAACTGCAAGTGATGGCACAGTGGGGCTAATTATAAGGCAACATGATCAGAGATCATGGAGGAGCAGTTCGACGGTTGGAAATACAGTTCGATGGCCATCCTCGAGAAGTATAAATAGCAGAGAATGCCCAGAAAAAGCCCCCGAACTCAGACCGAGAAAACTAGTCTTATTCCACTTATTTTTTCCCAGTTTTACATTCCCAGTTTTACATTCTCAGTCTTACATTTCCTGTTCTTTACATTCTTGTATTTTAAATTCCTGCACTGCACTTCGTTCATAGGAGTAGTGTAGACACCCCATTTTTAACCGTCCTCAAGACTTGGACGTCACCGTTTGAACACTCGGTGATCATCCATGTTTGTGTTCGTTTGGAGTTCCCGGAGGTCTCGGCTACGCGCCTTGCCTCAGGATCTCCGAACTCGACTGTTTAGTGTCTGGTTTTGCACCAAACACTTGTGTTTTGCCTTGGAGGGGCAGGGAATGCCTTGTGAGGCATCCCCACACATCACCGGCCATGGCCAGAAGCCACCGGCAGGTGTTTTGTTGCCATCGGCAATATATGTTGCCATCGGCAATATATATTGCCGGTCGGCGCTATTTGTTGCCGGTCGGCACTAAATTTTGTCAAAATGGCATTTTTGAGCAGCCGACTACTGTTCATCTGCTTTTGGTAGATATTTTGTGCCAGCTGTGATAGCTGGCACCAACTCTGTTCCCCTCCATACACGTGTATGTAGGGATTTCCCTCTAAGCAAGCTTATTTGACAAGCTTTACAAGAGAGAGCTCTATAAGAGAGAGTCTCCTCTCTTGGAATTAAGGTTAGACAACATTTTAGAGGGTTTTGATATTAGGGTTAGGAATTTGTATCTATCCTATATCTCTCTCTCTCTTTTTCTTGAGCTTAGTGTGTGTGTTTTGTCTTACTTTTGCTCACAAGCACCCACCATTACACCATCCCTTGGAGCTGAGACCTCTTGAGGGTTGTTTTTGAGGTTTTGAAGTTGGTTTCAACCTAAAAGAAGCTGCTGGTCCACCATTGTTGAAGGAGTCTTCAAGGGTAAGAAACTAGTACCTTTATTCCCCATTCTTGCATACTTATTTTGCCTATCTTAGAACTCTTTTTGTTCTTAGTGTATAACATAAAAAATTTCTGTTTTTAGGCCCTCTAAATAGTTTATTTAGGGTGTTTTGTTGTTTGAGGTTGTTTGACCCCTCCTAAGCCTTGTAAGGCTCCATTTTGTGCTATTTTGTGTAAGCTCCGAGACCTTGGTGTTTGGGCCTCCTCACCACTGAAATCTTGAGGGATTTCAGAGGTGAGGATGGTGCCTTGAGGTCCCAAGAAGGAGAGGGCCACCCCCTCTCCTTGTTGTCCTTGAAATGGACCATTTTTGGCCTCTTAAGGGAGCACCTAGCTAAGCTTCGTGTTGACCATGCCTTGGCTATTTTTTGTGCTTATTATGTCATAATATGCCTCTGTTTTTTGTTGGTTTTGGTACACCATCCATGCTTAGCATACCTACCTTGTAATGCCACTTTGTTGCCTTAACATGCCTTAGATTGTAAACCCTTGTTCTAGCATGTTTTAGGCTTAGCCTTGTGAAGCTTTTGTGCTTATTTTGCCATGTTTGAGGTCTGTCCATAGTTGGTTGGGTCGACTTTGGCATGCTTAGTATAGCCCCTTTGCATTTTTGGCTTGTCGCCCTTAAGTATGTGAGGGAATAGCATGTATTACTTGCTTTGATTTAATGATTTGGCATCATTTATAGCACCATTTCAGTCCCCTTTGCATGCTTGTATGCTTGCCTTGGTTGTCTCTTTGATGCCTTATGAGCTTGTGTTATATGCTCCATGTTTTGGCCATTGTACATACCTTTGAATTTGAGCCACTTAGATGCCAACTAGGGGGTCCCCTTTGCATGGTCTAGATCTGCCTTGAACCTGTTTTAAGTCCTCTTAGCCTTGTGAGGCTTGATTGACTTGGTCATGGTTCAAGCCCCTTTGACTTGCTTCAAGCACTTGGGCCATTTATTGCATGCTTAGTATATTTTGTTTGCTTGGTTTGGCACCATCTTTACATGATTTTCAATGCTTACCTTGCATGCCATATGTCCATGATTACCCTCTTTCAAATGTGTTTGAGAGTGGTCCCATTTGTGCCTAAGTGTTGGCCCCTTTAACATGTGCATGTGTGTATGTGTTTAGTCCTTTATTTTGGGTCATTTTGGCCACTGTTTTAGGCCTATTTAGAGTTGCCTAAATCATGTATAAGTCCAC